ACTTAATTGGATATTGGGACTAGCATACCCAACAATTGCATTGCATTGCATTGCGACATTGCATTTGCATTGCGACATTGCATGACATTTTTTACCGTCTCTAGATACATAAATGGTGAAAATTTAAAGAACAAAATTGGAGCGGTATTTGAGAAAACAAATTGCGATAATTTCAAACACACATTACGCAAAAACTCAATTGTATATGAAATTTCAAAAAAATGTATATGACTTTTTAAGGAGCTAATTTTGTAGAACATGATTTGTCTCTGTATTCAATCTCTATATTCAATTTTGTAGTTTTCATTTTCTTTTTAATTTTCAAAAAATAGGGGATTTGAACGAAAAAGAGACCTGCGCTGTTCTCTTAAACGTGTTTTGCACTATTCAACAAAAAGAAATAATTTTAACTCAATGTCCTATCAGTACATCCGACAAACATACCTAGATGAAAACCCCTGACTTGATGCTATCATCCATTGAATACCAAAATCAAATATTAAAATCCTCTGAAAACTGCAATATTTTCAGAGAAATCTAATTGTAAAAGGTAAATTTGTATGGATACTGGAAACTAATATTGTAACAAAGACAAATGACCAAATAATGTCTATATCCACATATTTATATAAACTGTACTATATTGAAAAGTTATCATATTAATATTGTTAAGTTCTATTTAAAGTAGTCGCTAATGATCACAGTTGTTGATGCGACTACAATAAACTAAAAAAAAGAAATAATAAAAAATGTGGAGCCATTTTTTTTTTAATTTTGAAAATGTCATGGGTGCTTCATGTCAAGTACCCACAAAATTAAAATATCGGTTTCAAATTCAAGGGGCGACGACATCAGTGAGAACGATTGATGAATATCAATTTTGGAGAAAATCGGCTGAACAGTTTATGTGCTACCATTGTGCACAGACAGATGGACGAACATACATACGTTTTGCTGTCAATCGGGCGCACAAATCATGGATTCTGACTATGCCAAGTCTCAGAGAAATTTGTTTTCAATATTTAGTAACTGGATTTATCCACTTTTCGTGACCATAAGAGTTTTGTGTCGAAAATTCGTCGTTTTCCGACGCACGATTACAATACTTTCTCTTACGTTAGTAATTGCGAGAAAGTAAAAAAAATGCATCCCTGCGTTGATTATATTGTATCCATTTATGTCACTTCTTTAAATACAGGTTGTTCACTAGTTTTGACATAAATTTAGAAGATATATTAGCACGTCTGTTTGAAATAAATGCGTCTATTAGAAATGCCGAGTTTTCTTTCTGGTTTAATGTTAAAACGGTGTGGAGAATTTGTCCCAGCTGATAACTGTTCCACTTGATTACACATCTTCGAAAATTGCTCTCGGATGCGTGTAGCTCTGAGCTGACTGGGGTGCACATAGCCGTGCGCATTCTACAAGTTATTTCATTTCGCATCCTACTACTTATTTCTTTTTCATTAAACATTTTTTCTTACATAATATACAAACGCACGCCTGTGATGATGTAGAAACGCAGAGACGGCCGGTGATCGCAAATTCTCACTAGGTATCAGTCATCGATTTCTAAGTTTTGAAAACATGGATGTTTTAAGCAAAGAAATATCAAAACCAATGTTTTACGTTTACGGTGAAAAATTCAGGTCATCAACATTTTGTAAATGTTAAAATGTGAAATAATAACGGAGGGCACCACTGTCTGTTTGTCTGTTCGATCCATACGAAGGTTCTTTGTACTACCTTCATCGGACAGGATTCTCTCTCGCCCGAGTTGACTCCACCGCCCTGGTATTTCTTACGTCTTTCCTCGTATTTCCCTCATGGAGAGGCGTTTTCCAACTTTGTTTTCACAGAAATGTTAATTATGAATTCATAAACTGGGACACTGTCAAATTAAATTATTTGTTGCGCACGAATTTAATGTTAAACTTACTAAACCAACTTTAAAGTATCGGTATATAAAAATATCTATGGATTTTGGACGACATATTTTTAATTTTGACGGTTTAATTTGGAAAATGTTAAAAAATAGCAATGGTTTTTGATCTATGTATTATTACTATCGACATTTCAATTTTGAACATGTTAACAAACATCGATGTTTTGTTATTGATGTCTTATCACTATCAAACTATCAATATTTAAAAATATCGATGTATTTTGGTCGACGTATTAATATCGACGGTTTTGGTCTACATATTATTAACATCAACGTTTTAATTTTGAACATATGAACAAACAGCGATGTTTTGTTTTGGTGTCTCATCACGAATTCTGCCCAGCTGTGGCTCACACCTTGGCCGGGCTTGGCGTCACATGGCGCGGCGCGGGAGGGATAAATTGGGAAAGTAAACAATCAGCGGCGGCTCGGAGGTCTGCACCGGTCGCTCCTGCTGTCTCTCCTCTCTTGCTCACTGGATCCCGATTGTCTTTTCGTTAAACCGTTCTGTTGTTGAAGTTTACGGAAAGGGGGTTCACCAATGTAGACAACAGTTTTCTGAGTATCCGCGTGTACTAACCCTGATCAACTTATACTATTACAAGTCAGTTCAACAATCATATCGTAGAAAATTGCAGCACAATCTTCGTACCTCGTCTATGTTCCCAATCCACTCACCAATAGACAAAACATCAACCTATCTCCAATAGTCCACAAAGCCAGGGACTATAACGTAAGCAGTAGATACTTACCTCCAGGCATGAGCTCTAACGTCTTCCTCAATCAGGTTTCCATCTTCTTGAATTGGTTTACCAACCACGTCCTCCTGACGCCCGAAGCCCCTCTTAAAGTACTAGTCACGTCCATGACTCGCCTCGAACCTTTCGTTACGGGGCCTACTCCTTTCAGTGAGCCCCCAAACGCACGCTGTCCTGCTGGGCGCGGGTCATTTTCGAATGTCCCATGGTGGCAATACATGGGCTAGTTCCACTGGCGCACCGATTTTTTCTCGCTCTCCGCAACACGTTTGCGTCACGTGAGCACAGCATGGGCATTTTGTTTGAAAAGCCCGACCAGACGCTGGCCGCCATGTTGCATGGAGGGCGAGAAGTATTGAGAAACATTTTGAAAGTGGTACAAAGTGACAATTTATAACGCCAACCAACCAAAAAGAACACGACAGGAGTGCAAGATGCAGTATAAAGTAATGCTTCATAAATCTGTTTCAATGTCTTGTAACGAGATGATAATTTTGACAATTGGCTGCATTTAAAATTCCCGCTAATATTGTGACGAAAACTGGTGTTTGAAGCTCATTGGCTGAAGTCGGAAACAATACGCAATTACCCCCCCCCCCACCGGAACGTCGCCACACATACCAGTTGTATCGACTTTCGGTTACCGAAACGAAGAATGAAACGCATTTCTTGCAAATCATTGTAATATCCCAATTTTGCATTTCGCTAAACCAAGACGAAGGTTTCGATGAGACCACATCCCTTCATTGCTTTTTTTTAATTCATCGCCACTCACCAAATGGTAAAATTATCTTTTGTATCTTTTTTATCGAAATTATGAGAAACGTTTGATATGAAATAATTACATTATACGAGAGTTCGGGCAGAAGTACTGGCAACTTTTTTTAACAAAAATATGTTATCAGATCACACAATTTTATTTCTGGCGTGAAATCAATGCTGCACTAATGTGTGTTCACAACAATCTGTGGGTGGGTGGACAATCTGTGAGTGTCTCTATGCAGAGATCAACGAGGAATCAGTTATTTGACTGCCGCAATGAGAAATGAATGTACCCTGTTTCGAACAGCGCTCATACACCAAGATATCCATCGGGAGAACTGGCCCAGGCATCAACTGATGTCACTGCAGTCCCTCTGACCGAGAGGTCCTAGTTGCGGGACCCAACAGTGGCAGGATTTTCGACTCGACAGTGCTAGCTTTATAGCAAAGTCGAGTTCAGTTGCTGTCTGGAGGAAATTTCTAGCGGCCGGATCCTCTGATCGGTAGTTTTCCGTAGTTTCTCCAATCAACACCAGGCGAATGCCGGAGCAGTTATTTAACAAACGGGCCACGGACCGTGCGCGATCTCATCTTCCTCTTCCTTATCCTATCCTCACTCCTTCACACACTTACACTAAGATACACTACACTACCACATATGCCAGAAGATCCGTCCGGAACTAAGAGCTTGTCGCGACTGGAGCTGTGCTCCGCTGGTGGGAGATATCTGGTTGGAGAAAAGTCAGCCGATGCTAGGTCGGCGCCGGATCTCGCCATGCAGCGATGGGAATAACACCGGCACCTTCCGAGCAAGCAACATGCATTACACTTACAGGACTAATGGCCCTGGTAGTTGACGTGCCCGGAATCCCTAAACAATCAATCATTTAATCAACCACGATCAGGAACGTACGTGACAACCTGCAAGTGTGCGGACCGATGTGACACGTGCGGTAATCGAGCATCTGCCTAATCCGGCTTTTAGAACGGTTATATAATGCTTTTGGAATATTGTGAATGAATTGTGTATGGTAAAAGTCTTGGGATTATTAAACCAGTACAGTAATTTCAAATTAATACCTTAATAAACAAATAACCTTCATAAATAATTAATAAATTAATACCTTAATAAATAATTAATAAATTAATACCTTAATAAATAATTAATAAATTAATACCTTAATAATATAACCTTAATAAATAAAAGAAACAATGTTCGTGAGTCGTTAAATGTCCATGGGCTTAGATCAAACCTTACCCTTTCATGTGTATATTTCATATTTTCCACCCGTATTCATATTCTCAAAGAAAAAAGCCATGACTTATGACCCAACCCTACATTGCTTTACATTAATTTCACATGAAAAGTATATTATACAAGTTGCAAAGTAAATCATCTTTGAAAGAAATGAAAAAAAATATCTGTGGATTTTGTCATTAATTCCTTGAAAATTGAAAAGGAAGTAATTGTGCTCCCTGCGTTGCACATGGCAATATCGTAGCATTCAATGGAAACTGCTCCCTTTTTGTTACAGACTGAGCAGTTTGCCGTGCTGTGGATCCTCTTCACCCTGATCGTGTTGGGTAACTCTGCTGTGCTTGTCGCACTTTTCCTCAACAAAAACAGAAAATCGCGAATGAACTTCTTCATCATGCAGCTCGCACTAGCCGGTAAGTCATAGTTAGAACAGTTATTTGAAAAATACTAAGAGCTGTGTGTGGGGGAAACTTACATTTGAATCGTGAATTTGCAAAACGACCTTAGTCCATACACGTGGTTTTGTGAAATAAAAATAAAAAGGTTTTTAACCTCTCTGAACCAAATGTTGGTGAAAGACAAACACTATGTGATCAAAAGTATCCGGACACGTCCAAAATGGTGTTGCGGAATGTTCGTGTTTTCCAAGGAGGGGGCTTGCACCCCTTGTTTTGTGTGACAATATCGCGGCACAGGCCTACCTTGATGTTTTGAACACCTTCTTGCTTCCCACTTTTGTAAAGCATTTCGGGGATGACAATTGCAACTCGATCGAGCACCTGTTCACACTGCACTGCCTATGGCGGAGTGGTTACACGACAATAACATCCCTGTAATGAACTGACCTGCACAGAGTCCTGACTTGAATCCTATCGAACACCTTTGGGATGTTTTGGAACGCCGACTTCGTGCCAGGCCTCACCAACCTATATCGATACCTCTCCTCAGTGTAGCACTCCGAGAAGAATGGACTGCTATTCCCCAAGAAACCTTCCAGCACCTGATTGAAAGTATGCCTGCGAGAGTGGAAGCTGTCATCAAGCCTAAGGGTGGGCCAACACCCTTTTGAATTCCAGCATTACCGATGAAGGGCGCCACGAACTGGTAAGTCATTTTCAGCCATGTATCCGGATACTTTTGATCACATAGTGTAGTTTTAGATTTAGCTAAGTGAAGATGCTTCGTATTAATTTACAATTTGGGGCAATGCTTTTCAGAACCTGAAATCTTTAACAAGCTATTTGACTATTTTTTTAAATTGATTTGAATCATGAATTAAATAAAAATAAGATGTATTAATATCAACAAATGCATTAAACCATTTAAATTTATACCTAATGTGTAAATAAATTATGTATTAGGCGTAATATAATTTTAAACAACATTTGCAAAATGAGCTTAATAGGTAATTAAGCTTTGATAGGTAATTAAAAATGTAACCTTTGCTTGACTGGTCTTTCAATGGCCTTTTAATTCCTATGACACAATACTTTCCTAAAATGCTTGAATAAAATGATGTACAGAAATGTACTTACGCTTTAGCAAATATACTGATGATTGGATCAGTATAGCTCAGATACCACTTGGTAAAAGCTTTACTAAGTGAACAATCTGGAGAATATGGTATATAGAATATGAAATATGTTGGTTCAAGGATTATTATACAGTTGTATTCCCTCGATGTATGTTTTAAAAAAGTTAAATTAGAAATTCTCAATAAAAAATTATCTTTGTTAACCTTCAAAACTACTCTGCCGTTAAGTCAGCTCTGCCATATACGAATGTCCACTGTGAAACAAAACGACGGACTTCATTTGATATAGTCAAATAAAGCTTTATTAAGGGGTGCCATGAAGCGACATACGTATATGTGTGTATCCTAAGGTTAAAACTTAGGGAAATGGGTAAAAAAAGGCTTACTTGTCGATATCGTAGAAAAATGCAAAACAATGTCATATAAAAATGATTCATTTCTTTTTCTCATAACAAATTTAATGTTTATACTAAAAGGCATTGTTCTAAAGCAAAAAGAAAAGTAGTGGTGCAACAGAAAGCCACAGACTTTCCTGTAGTAGTTTTCTAAATCCTTTGGTCTTGGCGCGCTACTCGGACTTGCCACATACACTTGCCAGCTCCCATCTATCTCCGCCCAAACTACATTATTTTGAAATTTTCTTAATTTTTCAGGTTTCTATAAGTAGAAGGGATATATTATTTTAAATAACAGTAAAACTTCGTCCAAAATGGCAATTTTCTTTGAAAAATTGGAGCCGTTTTTAAAAAAACATCTGTTTAAGCACTTCTGTAAATACGAAATTAAAAGCTCTTTTTTACAGAATTGTTTGATTTTTTGAAAAACTTCATTTGAAGTTATTTAAGTACGTTTAACTCACAAATACAAGAGTGTTTACAAATTGCTGGAAAATTGCGTGAGAGATCCTTCAATGAAATTTTTGTGTAACTTTTAAAAAAATAAAAAAAAATACCCCGAAATGAACTTTACGTCATATTAAAGAATGAAATTTGCACTATCAGTTCGGAAAGTTTTCAGAATAAATTTGGAGCAGTTCTTGAGAAAAAGACATTTGTGCATTTATGAAAATACCCGAGTTTGAGATAGTTATCACAGAAAATAAGTTTTCGAGAAACTTTATAAGACATTATTTAAAGCACATGTACTCATAAATAGGATAATCTGAACCAACTGCCGCTAATGTAAATGTGAGACAAGTAAAAAAAAATTGTAATTTTTGAAAAACGAATAAGGAATACGGCGTTTCTGTTATCTTATAGAGTACATTTAGCACTATCCCTACCAAAATTTAAAGAAAATATTTTGAACAGTTTTTGAGAAAATCTTCTTTGTGTACTTTTTTTAAATTGTGTATATTGCACGCAATATTGCGCGAAGACTACTAACATTTTCAAAAAATCTGTACTTGACCTTAATGAAAGAACTCACTATGGACAACAAATTTTATCTGGTGGAAAAATCTCTATCTTTAATTTTGTATTTGAAGGAATACATCGACAAATATTCATACTTTTGAATTTTTGGGAAATTCAGAGTTAACCGTGAAAATCGGACCTAAATACCGGACGTTTATAAGTTATATGTTACTCTATTTTTACAAGAAATTTAAAGAAAAAATGTGGAGCCGTTTTTGACAAAATTTTGAAAATGTCCGGAGGGCTTCGTGTAAAATACCCCCAAATTTTGAAGAATGTTTTTCAAAATCTCACAGTTTTGACTAGAGGCAGATAGACAGGGGTTTCTGCAATTTGAAAAAAAAATCCTTAGTAATGTTTACAGACACCACACGGACGGACGGACAGACGGACGTTTTAAAAATAAGCACATTTTCGGAATCAGAGGTTCCCATAACGTGTATTTCCGTTGAAATCTCGAAATTAATTTATCGCAGCATAACATATATTTCCCGATACTACGTACATTATTACGACACTAGTTATTATCATTAACTAAAACGTCCAATATTATTATTTTATTGTAATATGTTATTTAAATCCAGTATGGACTTGTGCTCAAGTGTATTGTGTTTACAGTGTGAAGTACACGGAGCTTTATTTTGAAAGTTCTCGTAAAACTCTCATAGTATCTTAACTTGATAAAACTAGGTAAATGTGGAATAGCCCCTTGTTCTATTAGTAGAACAAGGGGCTGTTGGTTATAGACTAACGATTCACTTTTTTAAATTCAGGTCTTACATGACGTTACTGATTTATGCCAATAACGGGCACAGTGAATTGTGGAGCAGATGACGACAATGAAGACGATGACAACGATATAAGTGATGATGATAAAATGAGTGGTAGGGTAAACCGGAAAACCTTGAAACTTACTGCAAACCCGCTTTGTCTACCACCAATTCCTACATAAACAACCGGAAAGTGTTTTCCGTGTTTTCCTCATAGCGTCATGCGCCTGCAGATAAGGTACTGAGCTTCGCGCAAGCAGAAAGAAATAGTTTCCGTCTTCCCCGTTCTTTATGCGCAACAACAAAAACAATGTCGTGATAATTTCCTGGGTCAAAACCGTGGAGTGAAAGGTTTTTTCCGAACGAGGTTGCTAATATTTCGAGCAGAAAATGTCACGTCGCTGAAGTGCATAAACTGTTTACTGTTACAGGGCGCGGATCCAGAGACGAATTTTGGGAAGGCAAATTTAAAGTTTTGAAGTCGAAGGTTTCATTATTACTGATTATGTAAAATGTCTTAGGCTACACGTCTCATACTGCAATACGATTTTATTCGTTTTAATAATTATCCTAACGTATTTTTGCTTGAAAGTTTCGTGACAAGTTAAAATTAATAAATACTGAAAAAAATTTAGGGAGAGGAAACATCTCCTTATTTCCCTGCCAGTGGATCCGCGCCTGCTTTTGCATTTTTGTTGATGCTATTTGAAGAGGTGGCCAGGTGTAAAGAGATGAAAAGACAGCCGCTTTCAGGACTCCCTGCCAGTCCTCCCCACCCCTCTCTTCTCCTTCCGATCAGAAACAAAGCCAGTCGGCCAGCCGCTCGCCGACATGAAAACGCCTCACCCCTCCCATATTATTCCGGTCCATAAACGAGCATTAATTGCTGTGTTTTAATTTGAATTTCAATTAATTACTCACCAGCGCAGCTCGACACCTCCCCGCGCCCCGCGCTGAAGGGCTTCATTAGCATCCGTCGGAGGAGACGATCGACGGCAGAGGCGCAGGGCGGCGCGTCAAAGGTGTAATTGTGGGCGGAAAGGCGCTCCGGGCGAAGCGCGCGGGCGACGACGCGCCTTCGGTGGGGCACGGGGAGGGGGAGTTCTCTCAATTCGAGGGAAGGGTTGCGGGAGTTGCGTATCCATCGCGCGAATAGCCGGTTGTGCCTCGGCAGCCGGTGAGGGAAAGATGAGGGTAGCATATGTTCAAAAGATAATCTTTTTTCGAGAGAAGAAAACAGTCAAAGGTTTAAAATTTTGAGTCCTACGAATCATCCTGTCCTACATTATTTTAGTATAGGTGCGTTTTGCAGCTCTTACACGCAATCAATCTTTAAAAATGAAGTCTGTAAAGAATAATAATTTCACAAAGACGTGTCGAAGTGCACTTTTAAAATTTCAAGGATTTGTTGAAAGAAAAAAAAGGGCTCATCTAAACAATGCATGGCGGATGCAACCCGCAACACTTGTCAGCGTTGTTGAAGTCTGTGGTTATATAACTCTAATACGAATTATTCTAAGGTCTTAAAACACGTAGTTTTGACGCTAAAGGTCTCAGAGGAATGGCCCTCAGACCATAATATACAGGATGCGATCTTACTGGACAATCTAATACATTTTTGCTGGTTCGGCGCTTCTCGGTTCCACCCACCTGTTGAGAGACGAGCATAGCCTACAAGTATATGTGAAATTAAA